AACTTGTGTGTTCAACATTGTTTCACAATCTCGTAGCTTGTCCTAAGTCTACTTTGGGTGATTAAAATATTATTTAGCATTTTTCTTCTACGCTCTATGAAGCTCTCTGGCTGTAAACTCTCAAACAGCATGGATGAACATGAGTCTGAAATAGAAACATATATCCAACATCTCTTAATCAGCCCTAACAGTAAGTACAAGAGCACTGCAGGTGTAATTAACCTACTTCTTAGTGCGGGGAAACATAAACTGTAAACTTTATGGAAATTATTGGGTTGTAATTTGTCACCGGAGACTGAAAGAAATGTCAACACTGACCTGTTTTTCATGTTTATGGCTGCCCCCCCGTGTGTGTATGGAGGCTTGAGAACATTACATGAAAGAAAAGAGGAAGAGAAAAGTCTCATATTGTGATATAACGAAAAAGAGAACTTTTTGTGAGTGTGTGTGTGCCCAAGTGTCAGTGTGTGAGTTGCATTAAAAAGAGAAGATAGTTGTGCAGGGAGGGGAGAAACATTGTTCCTCCCTTTCTCCTACTTCCTACAGAACAGCTGTATGTGTGTGAATGTGTGTGTCTATGACAGGGTGGAGTGTGTGAAAAGAGGAAGGAGGAGAAATGCATTTCAGCACATGCATTTATATACACTTGGATGTATTGGTTCTGATGGACAGCCATCAAGTCTCCTCCCCTGCTTTCTTTGCCTGAGCGACACTCCGTCAGTGTGAAGTATCGCTATCACTCTCACCTTTCTCCTTGTGGCCGACGTATCCACACTAGTGTAACGATGAGTGAGCTCAGGGCAGCTGAGGATGTTTTATTGGATGCACTGCTCAGCCATCCCCCCAGTAAGCCTTTACTCAACAGACGGTGCCACAGTGATGTGAGTATTTTTCACTTTTTTTGAAGTGAGTTATTCTTTTTGCTCCAGATATTGTTGTGTGTTTAAATCTTAATGTAGCTTAGGGTGAGGCTGTATACAATGCGCTGGCTGTAGACCAGTACTGATATTTGTACACAGCACAGAAAGATGAATGCTCCACTGATCTTAGGCCTGTTTTAAACAAATCAAAAAAGAACCTGGCAACTTCACATGCTTTTCTTTTTTTAATCTGATGAAAGCATGAAAAATAAATTTTACAAATAATTGAATGAGGCTATTTTTATCAGAACTTACTGGATGATACACATGTTCTGCAGCACCTTCACTATCCAGTGTGTAGTCCTCGGCTCCATGTCTTCCCCAAGAGAGATTCAGTGATGTTACTGTGGAGTCTTCGTGGTTCACTGATAATCTGGTCAGCACAGGACAATGTTTGTTGATGTTTGCTTTGCAGTCAGGAGCGCAATATGTCCCCGAATATCATATGGCACTGTTTACTCTCACATGCAACAATGGACCAAGGCTGCACCTTTGGCTTTACTGGGTCAGGGTCAGGTGTGTTTGTGCTTGTGTGGGTGGTGATATGTGTAGGTTTACAACTATGTTTTAGTGCATGCATGAAATGTATGTGTAAGCTTTTCTGTTTCTGTGTGTGTGTGTGTGTGTGTGTGTGTGCATGTATGTGTGTGTTTAGCGTGCCCCGCAGTGCCCCTCAGTAAATTCAAGCTGTCATGTGGAAACATCAGCCTGGCACTTCAGTCCACTTCTGTTACATGGTGAACAGAGGGCTCACCCCACAACAAGCAGCGCCTCCAGGGCTGCTGCGATCCTCTCCCCCTTCATCTCAGGTTGGAGCTGCTAAGAATCCAAAACCTGGCCTCTGCAGATAACAAATGCAGGCCGCAGGGTGTTTTAATACCTCCACGCAGGCGACAGCCGTGGCTGGAGGCATTGTGTTTCGACCGTCCATACACAAATACATCCGGTCTTGTGAATGTAATGTCTCAGGAATGCATCGAGGGAATTTCCATCAAATATTCTAAACATTATTTGCACATAACACAAGAGGGATTGTGCTAATCGTCAAGACAAATTTCCTGGCAACTCTCTAATTGGATAATAATGATGATGAAGGGATAAAAATTTATATCAAACATTTCAAAACTGCATAATGTCAAATAAATAGGTCAAATACTTATGTTCCCTGCTGCTTATCCAATACCTAAAAAAACAAACAAACAAGTGTGATACCTAAAAAGTTTATTTAATCATTACTTTTAATGTTTGGTTTATATTCCATTCACTAACATAGAGATGATAGCGTCTTTTTATGCCACAGGCGACAGTTGTGGTCGGAGGCCTCCCGTTCTTGTATATGCAACAGGAAGAATTAATGTGCTAATTATGCTATTTGCTGGCAAATATCCAAATGGACAGAAAAGATGAAGAGATAACATTTTATATCCAAAAAGTAACTTCACTGTGACATTGCAATGTTCTGCAAAAACACTTTTCTGGCCATCACTTAACTCCATTACTCAGGAACAGAAGGAGGCCCGTGTTTCCTGCAGCTACACTAGTTAGCAGAGGCAGAAAATTGCAAGCTGCTAATTCGGTTTTTTCTACTGTAGCATGTGCGAGAAGATAAAAAAAAAAACCTTTATTTTCAGTGAACCAGTTCAAAGCCATTCTGAAGATGTATATGTTCTGTAGTCGTAGATCGTCCGGGTGTAATTATGAATCAAGTAGTTGGATCAATTCCTTTTGTCTAATGAGAGGCACTGCCATCAGAAAACCTCCTAGAGGCAGATTATACCACAGGAAATACTTCACAGACCATTCATGTGAATTTATGTTTACACTCTGTATTTCCTTTATAGGTTAAATATATCTCATTCACACACTAATGTGACTGTGTGTGTGTGGCGGATGCCAGAAGCACAGTGCTTTCCAGTCAGTCAGATGAGCTGTCGCCTGCGGCAACAGACAAAAAGCTCCATGGAGCTCTGAGGCTCATTTTTCTCCCTGAAGAGTTACTTGTTTACAGTGTTTGTCCTTAAGTGTGGAGGAACGATTCTCCTGGCGTTGAATGGAGCCTCAGTGAGAGTGATGTCAAGTTGTGTGGAGGCCGGGGGGTGGTGGGGGTGGTGCTGTCATAGTGAGAAATGGAGTCGGGATGTCGAAAATTCAAACGCATGGTTTTGTGTCTGGAGAAGACACAGCCAGTATTCTTAGTGAGCGGAGATGAGTGAAGGGAAAGCACATCAACAACTTGTCTCCACAAACGATCAAACCCATTTCCCTGTTTGGATCTGTGTCAACTCTCTCCACCAGAACTCGGACCTGTTTGCCATGATCGAGAGGATGCAGGTACAGTGATCAGCCTCCTGGATTTTCTATCCACCGCCTGAACTCGCTTTAATCAAACGCCGTCCTCAGACATAAAACTTCCATTTACTTCTATTTCGAGAATTGCGTTTCTCTGCTTTTCTTATTTTCAGATCTCTGCCACTCTACTTATAAATGTGTGTCTATGTGTCTTCACCATTATTGAGTATTTACGTCAGGCTGCCTTTAAAAACCCTCATGCTTCTGAATGTGCTGAACAGAGCCTCTGTGTTGTGTCTCCTCAATCCGGTAGTTTTTCTTCTGCATCACCAGATGTGTGAAATGTTATGTTCCGGGTTATTTTTTCAATATGTTGCTGTGGATTTATAAGAATGTGCTTTTGTCATTGAAACGTGACGCAAGAAGAGTCGACTTTTGTGCGAGACAGTGAAGTGATCAACTTCATCAATGCAGTTTGAACCGAGACTTTGATCCCAGGGTGTCTTTGACGCTACAGGCATTCAAAACTGTAACTGGATCATAACATAGTCCTCTTTTTTAGTATTGTTTGATCTAGAGTAGACTGTACATAATGGAGAAAACTTTCAGTTAGGGTTAATAAGTTGTCTCTGAAACAATTTTTATCTTGTTGAAATTCTCCTCACGTTCACGTTGACTCACTCTGACATTTTCTCACATTTTATCTGGCTGGCAGGATACATGTCCGGATCAACTGACTCAGACATTTGCATATACTCACTTGCAGCCCGTCCGTAAAATTACAGGAAAATGTCCAGAGTTCAGTTCATGTCTGAAAGCAGCTTTCGGTGGATGCAATGATATATTGTTGAAAGAGCCATACATATATTATTTAGACGTTAGAAAAGAAACTTTAGAGGTTCAAACATCATCTTTCTAAAGTTGTGGAGCTGGAACCAAGAAGAATCGAGCGTCTGAAAGATCTTGATGTTTAGAAGAGAAGACGCGGTACCTCCTGCTAATGCATACATTTGAATCATCATGATCTTCTCGAGAATCTTGTTGATGTTTTAGTAGCTTCAACCATATTTGTTGTATTTACTCTGGGTTGTTTAGCACTGGAACAACACGGGAGAAACATGTCTGAGCAGCATATTTCATTTATGATTAGTGATGCTTGTTCTCATGGGGGGGGGACAGCAAAGAGAATGAGGAAGGGAAAGAGAAACAGAAGCAGAGCGGAGCCATCTTCAAAGAATGAATTTGATGAAAGCATTTTCCAATTTCCTCATCATCTCCCTTAGACCTTTAAAAAAAAAATGCATCAGATTTGATCCGTTTCACATTCTTGCTGCGGGGTATTCCACGCAAATGGCGACTGATCAGGAATCCTTTGTTAACCATCTCTCTGTGTGCTTTTTTTGAACTGTCATTCCTAATGAGTCAGCAGAATTACAACAGATATAGAACAGATGCAAAGTTTTTGGGCCTGAAGTGGAGTCGTTGTTAATGGTATTTGTTGTGTGGGTCATTAGAAACGCCTGTGTTCTCATAGACTTCTCTTTATCTTTGTCAGTCGTCTCTCAGTCCTCTTTACTTCCTCTTTCTGCGGCCCGCCTGTTGATTTAGCTTGTGTTATAGAAACATGAATTACTATCACCAGGAATTATCTTGCACTCTCTCACGGCACAACACATTTCACGGAACTTGACAATGAAAAATGAGTATTTGTATATCTCCTCACGTGTGGGATGTGTTTGGTAGATATTTCACCTTACTCCATCAGTGTCATAGCATTTGTTTTCTCCACAGGGATTCAGAATGGATGAGCAGAGATGCCCCCTCCCTCCGCCCCTCAAAGTGAGTCTCAGATCGTCAGATCTCCTCATGAAACCGCAGTCTGGCAAAGCATCTGTAATGGAAAAGTTATAAACCTTTCCTTATCGGCCGTCAGACAGCCTCTATGGTGCTCACCAGCTGGGTTAGGAACTCCACAGGGACTGGGACTGAATAATCCTCCTCTGTCCGTTAGTCTGAATAATGCAGTGGGTAAAAGTAGGAGATCCTCTCAGCAGAGGGTTTGAGATGAATTGAGAAAGACCACCCAATAGATCGTAATCCTCAAAAATAAAAAATATGGAATTGTTATGGTTTGGCTAACGCTACAGGTTGTGTGTATAATGTATAATTAGGTTTTAGAGTTTGAGTTCAACACTCACAAAAAGGCTGTTTAATTACACTCAGCATATTAGCTGTAAATTTATGGCCAAATGCTGTGGACCATAGACTTTACATAAAAATAGATGATACATCTCCTGTTGCACAAAAATGAAGCCAAAATATCCTGAGTATGGACGACAATTTCCATCAGTGCAGTGTCATAAGTAGGCCTAAAGGACTGTGACTGAAACTTAGTTGAATATAAAAACAGAGCTTGGTGTCTGGCTCTCACCATCCCTCCTGCTACATATAGCCAGTAACTCGCAAGGCAACAGGTCCAGTTCTGCTCTGCTGGGGTCGTTCAAATGCAATCTGGGGGGTAATGGAGAAAATCGTCTATCTGAAATTGAGGGAAAAGTGGATTCCCCGAAAAAACTGAATTGCAGGCAGATATCAGAAAAATGCTTCTGAAGTGCAGCGAGCATCACAGATTAATTCCACTGCAACTAAAAACAATTATCAGAGAGTTCAATAAAAAACATATTTGTAATTGTGTGATGGCCACTGATGTGTTCTGAATAGTCCTGCATGCATTAGCTGCCTGTTAGCTTCTCTACCAACAACACATTCAAAACCAGCAGAAGGTTGTTTGCTCTATTTCTCAAAAGTGAATGTTTTAATAATGTACTAAGAGGATTAAGGACGGAATCTCTGGAGGTTATATGTAAAATAAAGGAATATAGTGGGAAGTGGACATTTCTAATGTGACATCTGTCATGTTTGCAGGATAAGAACAAAATCTCTACTTCAAGGTTCAGCTTGTATAATTTAAGGGGATCTATCGGCAGAAAGTCAATTATAGTCACAGTTATGTTTTTATTAGTGTATAAACACCTGTAACTAAGAATCCATTGTGATTACATTAGAATGACACCTCTACATAGACAGAGGCCACGCTTGACCAATGACACCTCGGTTTAACTTTTAGGGTGCAGTCGTATCGTTGATCTTTATATAGTGTCTCTGTAACAGTGTTTCTGCTCATTGTTAGTTTACAACAAAGAACTAATACTGAAAATGTTGACTCATATTTGTTTCCGTCCCTGCAGACAGAAGAGGACTATATCCCTTATCCCAGCGTCCATGAGGTACAAACTTTAAATATGTCAAGAGTTTGTTTAAATAGGTGTTCTGAAATAATGAAATCAATGCAGTACTATTAGTTACTCATGAGTTTTCTCTCTCAACGTTATCATTGTCCATCATGGTCAGGTTCTGGGTCGCTGTAGTCCTTTTCCACTCATCCTGCTGCCACAGTTTGGAGGCTACTGGATCGAGGGAACCAATCATGAGCTTAAAGACGCACCAGAAACTGATCAACCTCCCTGTCCCTCCTCCCACATCAAACTGGAGACCAACAGCACCGCCAAGATCTACAGGAAGCATTTCATGGGCAAGGTGAGGAAAGGAAACCTGCTGATTCATTTGTTTGTGTGTTACCTACCATCACCCTTACATCCACCAGGACAACACTCAGGCACATGTGTTCCCCGTAAACAACTTTTGACATCATCCCTCTGGACACGGTAGTGCAGATGTTAGCACTGTTGCTTCCCTACTAGAAGGTTCTGATGGCCTTTCTCTGTGTCTGCATCTTCTCCCAGGGAGTGGCTCCAATCTGTAAATCTACTGCATCCATCATATATACATATTGTAGTATTGTATTTTATTATCATGTCAGTATTCATCTGTGCATGAAAGTTTCTTCTGCTTCTCTGCCCCCAGGAACACTTTAATTATTACACCATGGATGCTGCCCTGGGCCACTTGGTCTTTTCCATGAAGTATGATGTCATTGGGGATCAAGAGCATCTACGCTTGATGCTTCGGTACAATTTCTCATTATCTTTATCTCTGACTTGTTTTCTCTCCCATTTGCGCTTCTCCTTTTTTTTTTTCGCTTGTTGAGTCCTCTCTTTTTCAATTATTCTTTGCCTTTATATCCTTTATATTGTTTCTCTCTTTCTATATTTCTATATATACTTTAGACTCAATCCTGGCTCCTGATATCTGTGTAATGCAGCAATTTATTTTTTATTTTACTCTATGAATCATTTCACATATCATATTTTCACACATGACTGCTTTTTTCTTCTGTGCTAAGGATTTTATTAGGTTGAGGAAAAATGACTTTTGTCAGTTATGAATTTTGAAATGTTATAAATAGGCGGCTCAGTTGAAAGGCCTGCCCCTGCTGTCAGAGGTTACACAATAATTCCACATCGAGGTCATCAATTAAATTAAATATGACATCAAACGTCAGCTGCCTCTTTTACACAGTCGTGATTGTAAAAGCTTTTGTGGAAGTTCATACATCTTTTCTGCAAAATGATTCGGTTCAGTCACAGTATTTTGTGTCTGATGGTTTTTTTGTACAAATTGTTTCATAAGACCTGACCTGGTCCAGTCTGCTCCAGTCATTAGTCCTTCAGCTTCACCTTCAGCATAAGGTCCTGGTCCCACACACACAAATGAAGCAGTGACGAACCTTCACCTCCCAATCTCTTCCATTCTGTGTGAGCAACGGGGCGATCAAAACATTTGCTCTGTGGCAAAGCAGATCCGCAGTGTGGCTTTGCTTTGGTTGTAATTGGCGTCTGTCTCATGCCTTCTCCAACCCTTTTCCTTCTCCTCGTCTGCAACGCCAGTGTCTTCATCTGTTCTTGTGCAAATACCACAACCTCAAACTGACTACAGACCTGAGTCATGCACCGTCAGAAAAGATTATATAAAGACAAAAGTAGCCAGTGGTAAATAAGTTCTCTGTGGCTTTGCTACTTCAAATCTTTTGAAAGACACAAGCTAGGCACGTCATAAAGGAGGAAACAATGATAGTTGCAGGAGCACGGGTGCCGCGACAATTGACAGAACACAACTCAACAACCAAAACAGGAGGAGAAGGAGGCCATAACCAATGTGGTGTGAGTGACTGTAGCATGAGTGTTTAATCACTGGTCAGGTCATACGTTTATGGGTCTGCGTGGGACCAGATTGAACTGGAGATGATTGCGGCTAACAGGTCCAGTACAATGCTTTCCTGTGCAGGACTTGGCTACAGACTGTAAAACAGTTTTTTCCATGTGCATCACATTCTGTACTTCACTGCCCACATTCAACAAGTGATGCTACGTAACTCATCTCTGCAGGCGAATAACATTCACGTATGTGTGTCCGCGCCCTGGGCTCTCTGTATAGATGATGACTTTTAGAAACTGTGCCACAAATTATTCAACCATCAGCCCACCACTTCTCTATGTTGTACAAGCCACGTCTATTTTGCACAAGCCTGCCTCCCACCACCGCCCAAACTCGCTCCTTCACGCCTTCGCATTCTGCTAAAGACAGATGAGGGGGAGAGAGAGGCAGAACGCAACGCACCACAAAACCTGTGAATTAATTTTGGCACCTGAGAGACTCCACTCCAGGTTTTAATAGCTGCAGCCCCTGTTTGTTAATGGAGCTGCAGAGTGGATGAGCGTAGCAAGGTAACAGGCGCTCAGCCCTCTACTTTATTTTTTCACACAGTGATGTTTTCCACTGAGTAGCTGCCACCCACGGTCGCTCCGTCATCCAGGTCAAACACAGTCACCCCAGCTGGTGTAGTCACAGGCCCTGACTCTCAGTTCATATTTAAAGACTTCCATTCACCCATCCATTATATGCACCCCTTATCCTCTCAGGGTCGCAGGGAAAGACCTGAATGATGAATCATAAAGTCTTTGTGTAATTTACTGTTAATGCATTACGCTCTTTAAAAAGACACTCTTATATTCTTTGGTAGACACAAGAATCCCAGACTGTTGATGGGTGGATTCTTTACGCTTTGGTGCCAAACCGTTCAAAGAAATAATGATGTGATGTGATGTCTGATGCTTCAACATATCAACATGTTTAAAAAACTGATCACCGAAATCCTCAGATCGGCTCATTTTCATGAAGAACGCCTTTGTAGACCGTATCGACCCGTGGAGGGAGCCCTTGAATTGGGACACAGCTACAGTCTCCATGTCTTAAGAGGACATTACACTGACTTAAAACAATTTCCTGGAACCTCATAACCTCATAGTTACTACTTGTCTGACCAGTGTCCTTGAATTAAACCTAACCTTGTTGTGTGTCTTTACTGTCTTATTTAATGATTTTCATGATAGGGACTTGCTGTCTGTCCCCATTAGGAAGACAAGTCACCATAGTGTTACTGTGTAAACACGTTGAGGTCCCTACAACATGAATACCACTCAGTGTAAGCTTCACTGAGGGAACTGTTGGATGTCTCCATAAAATATTGTTAGGTCTCGACCTTTCTCTGTAAAGAGGCTTTAGATAATGTGATTTGTCGCCTTACAAATAAAAATTGAATATGAATCTTTGCGCAGATGTTGAACTGCACTGTGGGTGTGAGCTCCCATAAATAGTTTAGATTTTCTGAAGACCTCCTCACAGTTCTCTTGGTACTATTTATCATAACCCTCTGTTAGAGCAGTGACCTCTTCTAGAGAAGAAATTACGGAGCCATTCAGCCCTCTCCCTGGCAATCTTGTCTCGGACACATCAAGTGTCAAGACCATTATACACACCCAGCACAGTGTTTAGTGGAAAGGTCTCCTTTGAATTGGTGATTCAATTGCATGAATGCGAGCAACAGAGAGGAGAAGCATTGAAGCCGAGGGATCATTTTGCATTAAAAATAGAACTTTGACTTTTTCAAATTTTGCCTTTCAGCACAAAGCTAAAAACCTACCATGATGTAATTCCCATTTCCTGCCTTACCGAGTTCCCCAATGTGGTTCAGATGGCCAAGGTAGGCAGCTGTTATGAGCTACATGTTATTATCTGCTGTATGTATTTGTTAAAGACACACAATTTCACTATCTCAGCATATATTCAAAAATCTTAAAATGCTCAATGTACTTTTTCACTTTTAGCTTGTTTGTGAAGAAGTTAATGTGGACAGGTTTTACCCCGTCCTCTACCCAAAGGTAGGGACTGGTCCTCATTGTGACATTTACCTGAAATTTCACTTGCACCAACTCTACAGCTCCATGAATCTGATTTAAAACCTCCCGTCTTCTCGTCCTCAGGCGTCGAGGCTCATTGTCACCTTTGATGAGCACGTGATCAGCAACAACTTCAAGTTTGGAGTCATTTATCAGAAGTTTGGCCAGGTGAGTGCAACTGAAGAGATAACCATGCCAATCTTTTCCTTTTAATCATATGTCACGCCTCATGGAAATGCACTTTCCCTGCTCTTTGCAGACATCGGAGGAGGAGCTGTTTGGGAACATGGAAGAAAGTCCGGCCTTTGTTGAGTTCTTGGAGTTTCTGGGCCACAAGATTGAGCTTCACGACTTCAAAGGGTTTGGACACTTTACATTTCGATTTCTTCCAGCAGAACATTTCAGCACTTTCAGGTTACTTCTCATTATAGCACAAAGGTCTGCCAGAAGACGGCAACTCATCTCTTTGCTTTTGATCCAGGTTACGTCTTGAATGAATCTGTGAAACACTTGATATTTGTAGTGGTTCCAACATTGTGACTGAGTTGTCTGAAGATGTCCCCTTGACGTTTTCTCAATGATGTATGAGCGTGGATGGACCGGCCGCTCTTAGAGCATTCACCTGCGTTCCTCTCCACTTTGTCTTTCTCTCGACTCTTCACCTCAGTCCTCTCCTCCCCTTTTTCTTCCCTTTCTTCACTTCATTCTGCCCTTAACCCCCTCCTCCCTTTCTTCCCCAGGTTTCGAGGAGGACTGGATGTCACTCACGGGCAGACGGGCACAGAATCCATCTACACAAGTTTCCATAATAAGGAGATTATGTTCCATGTGTCCACCAAGCTGCCTTACACAGAGGGAGACTCACAGCAGGTATAGATTCATCATCAGAGAAACTCATTCGTCTTTCCAAAGCAGTTCTCAGTATCCTCGACTAATTGATTAGTGAAGCCCTCTCCTTGTGACACCATCATGTGTTTGATTGCAGCAGCAGCTCATGGGTCAGAGGCTGTAACATCATAATTTTAGTTCTTTTAAGTTGATGAAGCAAGATTAATTGTTTTAATCTGTAATTAGCCTCATTCTGGGGCACGGAACAAAAGCGATAAAGTCGTAAAGTACTTAAAGCAACAGTTTGATGTTTTTGGAAATACATTTGATCACTTTCCCGCAGAATGAAGAGATAAACCCACTTTCGTGTCTAAACAATAAATATGTAGCGAAAGCCAGCGGGTGATGAGCTCAGCCTGCAACGTAAAGCCTGGAAAAAGGAAGAAAACATCCTGGCTCTGTAGCAAACAAAATCTCCCCAACAGCAAAATAAATCTCCCTAATTATCATCTCAATTGGTTATTCCATACAAAAATGTATTTCTAGTTTTTTTTTGCCAAACTAAGCTAACATGCTGCTGGCTGTACTTTCATGTTCATGTGGTAGAAACAAAAAAGTGGAATCGATCCTCAGTGGCTGATTATTCTATGGTAGTAGTATGGTAGTTTAAGTTTCACGTTTAATAATAATAATAATATTTAAAAAATATATTTATTTATATAGCACCGTTAAAAACATCCATTACATAGTGCTTCACAAATAATGCAGAACGCAGCGACGTTCAGATCAGACACATTCACAACAACAGGAAAATATCCACAACATTCAGGTTTACGAGGGGGCTGGCAGGAAAAGTTCCAGAAAATGTCCAGAGCAACTGACCCGGACGTTTGCGTTCTCAATCCAGCAAAATGTCCATATTACAGTGCAGGTCTAAAATCAGCTTGTGGCAGGTTCGCTGTCCTCACTGTTGTCATAGAGAAATCAATCAATTTATGACATTTACAAATTCCTCAGGCGTCACAATGTTCTCTTGTGACTTTTGAGTTTCTCCTCTGTTTGTTTGCCTCAAAACTTTCATCTCTTTGATGCCTTGTCAGAGTCGGCGACATTAGTCCTTAGCTGTCTCTCTCACTGTCTCTAAGAGTGTGTTTAACATTGTTACCACAGTAAAGCTGCACAGATGGTCCATATGCATGAAGACAGGGGATCCTAACCCACGCAGACATGACATGATTGATGAGGGAAAGCGCACCAATAGTAGTGCAGCAGGATTTCAAAAGAAGAAGGTTTATGTCATCAGATCTGATTTTATGGGGGTAGCCTATACATCATTGCCAGATGTCAAGTGTCTAAATGAGTGCTATTCAGCTGTCTGGCGTCTGAACACTCTGTGTAAGTAAATACTAAAGCAGGCTCTTAATGAGCTTGGGTGATGCAGGCCTCGTCTCCAATGCATGTTAATTGAACAGATATATTTTCCCCTCCGTTTTTGAAAAAATCTCTGTCCACTTGACCTACGTTTTACAAAGAGTCTCACAAAACAAGAAAATGACAACAAGCATGTCAGGCCAGTAGGTGGTGATACATGAACAATCCATCAAATACCAGCTAAGCACTGTGTTCCAAGTATTAGATCAGGTGAGACAATGATTCTACATTTAGCTCCAACCTAGTCATGCTAACCAAACTTAGGGAAAATGATATCTTCCTTTGTAAACAATCAGTTTGAGTGACTTAAAACATCTTTTGCATGTGGACAAGAGGCAAGAATGCAGAGGGCAAAGTTTGGTTTGCAAAATATTTCCATAAATGGATCAGAAATGTTCAAAATATAGTCTGGTTTGGACGAAGGACTTGATCTTGATTTTTGCCAAAAAAATAATTATTTTGCATCAAAACTATGTGTTTATAAGTGCTACATTCAGAAATACAAGGCTAATTAAAACATTTTCTGATTCAGGGCCAAATTCTGAGACATTTGAAGATATTTGAAAAATACAGGATGTGTCAGACTCTTTACCTTTAAGCAATTTAAAACATTTCCTTTTACTCAGGAATTTATTTCTGGCTGATACGACTTCAGCAAACAATAAAAACTTGTCGGGCCTGAAACAGATGGTTGATTGTTTTCATGTAAACAGACGGACTGGCTTTAACAGACAGGGAGAGGCTATAAGGTAATTTCTTCCTGCAAAAGAATCGTCTATAAATCCTAGAATAAATGTTTGCACATAATTGTTCTTCTCTGGAGACATTTTATAGCGGCAGCAGCTCAACAGGTGTGAAGTGGTTTTGCTAAAAGGCTGCACTTCAGTGTGTTAAACATCCTGGTGGCTGACGCAGGGTAATCAACACATGCTGCAGCAGAGCCACAATGATCAGGCTCTTAGTGAGTCTGTTGGAAAATACTGTTACTGTCTGCGCTGATATTATCAGTGTATTCTGTTTACCACCAAACTGTATCTTCAAAATCTGATGGATCTCCTGTGACTAACATGCTGTGGAGTGATTTAGGTCACAGCGACCTCGTGATAAGAATCATTTTGGAGGGATGAACAGGGCATCGTGATATCCACTGGTGTTTTACCATTTCATTTCTCAAGGAAAAGCATTTATGGGACATTGTCTCAAATATGAAATCCACCCTGACTACTGCAAAGCTCTACCTACAGATATTTACCTCTGTCAAGGATATTGTGTTTTCAGGCCTTTTCGTTTTGTTTGTTGGTTGGTTTGTTTGTGATCAAGGTTACACAAAAACTGCTCAACAAATTGGGAGAAAACTTGGTGGAAGGGTCTGAAATTGGTTAGAGAAGAACCCAATAAATTTTGGTGCAGATTGAGATCAGGGGGCGGATCAAGGAGTTGTTTTCATCATTTTCTTTAACACATTGAGATTGTCGGCATTGCATTTGTTGACATTGTCACCGATTTCCCAGGAAATAGTTCATGGATCTTGATGAATGAAATCAGGAACATTTAGGGGACTGATATCTAGAAGTGTGCAATTTGTTTCAGCTTGATTTAATTTAAGGGGACTAATGGGCCTTGGTGGGGACATACACTCTATTAAGTGTCATTCCAGTTGTTGTATTTTTAGTGTGATGGTTTTTCAGTCATATCTTCTCTGATGTTTATGGGAGCCTGTTTAAATTAGACTCACTTGCTAAAAGTAGTGGTGACAACATAGATTCATAATTCAATAAAAAAAGAAGGTGCCCCTAATGCTTGGCAATACCAGGCGATTTAAAAGATATTGCTTGGATGAAAACTCGTTGCTTGAGCACAGTCACTCTGTCCTTCAAGTAAGTGTCCTTTCGCCAACTTTAAGCTTCTTGGCAACAAAATGCAGCTGCTCTGCAGCAGGGATTTGGGTTTCTGACACTCAGCCATCATAAACCATTTTTGTTTCCTGCACTGATATTCAGTTTTCTTAATTTCCACACCACCAACACATCTGAAACCCTAAATTAATCTAGCATAAACCTAAATTGAAAAAGCAGTTGAAGATTAAGTGTGTCGCCTCAAGTGGTCAGGTTAATATTGCAACCAACCTATAGGGTCTTAACACAGTTATTATAACAAAGATATTATCATATCCCATTTTTGCAAAGAGATCCTTAGTATCTCTACACACTGCTCCTTTAAAGGTGATTTATGGAGGCCTATGTGTCAGTATATAGCATACAGCATAAATGTCATCCATACCCATGATATATTTAGACTTTACTTTTAAAAGAAATGATTGAGAAACTCGTCGATGTGTTGAATCCTTCACAGAGGCTATCCAGAAGAGCTCGGTTTCAATTTCCTGGCTGATAAATATAAACTGGGTTGTCAAGCATTTCGGAAAAGAGGTTGTACTCTTGGATTAAACTCAACTTCCACTCTCTCTGCTGGGACTGTATTTACTCCCAGTCAATCTTTTCTGTGCGAGTCCTGGATGTGACGGCTCTGTGTTTGTGACTCTAACTGGTTATTTGATGTGTTTCCTCTGTTGTTAGTTGTGTTTATCTCTGCCCTCCAGCTGCAGAGGAAGAGGCACATAGGCAATGACATCGTCGCCATCATGTTCCAGGAGGAGAACACGCCCTTTGTCCCAGACATGATCCAGTCCAACTTCCTGCACGCGTATGTGGTGGTGCAGGTGGAGAGCGCGTGCACGGACAATGTCACCTACAAGGTTAGTTTTAGACAGCGGATACTATATCAAGGCAGAGCGGGTGACTTGTCTGTGTGGCTTTTAAAAAGCACGAACATGTGTCATGCATCACATTTAATCCTTCGGAGAGGTTTCACAGGTCTGAGATTTCCTGCTCTGTCTCTTCCAGGTGTCTGTGACAGCGAGGGATGATGTACCTTTCTTTGGGCCGGCTCTGCCTGACCCTGCCATCTTCAAAAAGGTCTGCAATCAAACAAATGCATTAACTCAGTTCCCCTGAGAGAAGCTGCTCACACTTCATAAACCTTCATTGACTCTGCTGTTCCCTCTCCCTCACTTACTCATTTGCTGCTGTGGCTTGAAACCTGTATTTACCGACGACATCATCACGGGGTGACGCTCATTTACAATGATATTGAGTTAAATAGAAAGAAGAGGGAAAAAATGCAACAACAACTTAGGAGCATTCTAATAAACAAACTCACATTTTACCGATAAGAGCCATTAAAATAAAGGTTGATTAGCACAATTAGAGGAATAAAGATTATGACCGTGCAAATTAAAAAAATTGGTTTAAAAAGCCAAATAAAACAAATTACAGGAGGTAGAAGTTTGCTCAATGTAATGATGTGCTGTATTTTGTTCCACGATTTTCTGAGTTCAGAGCGAACTTGTGGGACATGAACTAAAAGCCAGTTGTTTGAGCGAGTCTGATTAAGTCTTACGGTTGAAGTATTGCTGATAGACAGTCTGGTAGTTTTCCAGTCAGAGTAAGTAAGTACAGGTAAATACAATATTATAAGGTAAACCTGGTCATCTCCAGCTCCTACAGTCTGTATTTTGAAGATTTTACCCTTTTAAAATAAATAAAATTCACTATGTGCTGGTCAAGTTAAAATAAATCAAAGCATGGCTGCTGAGAGGTGTAGAAATACTTTGATTCATTGTGAAACTAGAAGGTCAGAGGACAGGAACTGACTAGGTGATTCTTCATATGTGGCCCAGGGTTGCATTTATTGTCACACAGCGTAAATAATGTGCATCCCAGACCTCCTCACAATCAGTGAAGGATTTTTGATGGAGTAGCTCTGCATACAGAGGAGCTGTATGACTGTTTTAGAATAGGTGGATGTGATGGTAGTGTAAAGTACTTTGATGCACAGTAAGACCAGAAAAGTGTGAATTATAATTCAGTTCATTTGACTTTTCCATTTGCTTGTCTCTGTCAGGGTCCAGAGTTTCGTGAATTCCTCTTCACCAAGCTCATCAATGCAGAGTACGCCTGCTACAAGGCTGAGAAGTTTGCCAAGCTGGAGGTAAGTGTGGTGTGCGTGTTCTCGGTGGGGAGTGATTTCAGGTGACAACACAGATTAACTGTAATCTCCAGCGCTTCTCAAACTGCCACAATGCAAATGAGCTCGACTCCTAATATTTGCTCTCAGCCGACTGGAATTTGAGATTTTTGAGTCGGCTCCTCTGCAGACTGACAGCGTTCTTGTTGTATGTCAGGAGCGCACGCGCTCGGCCCTGCTGGAGACTCTGTACGAGGAGCTGCACATCAACAGCCAGTCGATGATGGGTCTCGGTGGGGATGACGATAAGCTGGAGAACGGGGGCGGTGGAGGAGGAGGAGGCTTCTTCGAGTCCTTTAAGGTACGGCCTCATCCCTTATTTGATGCGACGCACCGTTAATCTGAAACTCCACATGCATTAGAGGGAATGGTGACAAGCGGAGAAACTTCAGGATGCTTTTTTTTTTCACCCCCCTCTCCCCTGTTTCTTGGCCGGGATTCTGGGTATTCACACATGAGAAAACAAAGCAGAGAAAATTTGTAGTATCTCAAAGGACCAGTCCTGTGGCATTTGATTTCCTCACTTGGCTGTGACTGCTGAACTCAGTGTGTTTTCACGTGATGGTGTGGGGAGTTTTTTCTTTTTCTTGAAGCTGTTGTGTGTGTGAAAGGCACTTTGCTCTGACTGAGAGTGCTCCATCAATGACCATTAAGGTTGTGGAGCTCAGCCGCTGAGGCATGGCAGTAGAAGCTGTGATTGTGTGTGCCTGATGAACGATTTAATGACCCCTCATTAGGGAGTTGATGATGCAGTTTGCATGTCTCCCCATGGGCAGCGTTCCCTCGCTGTTTTTCTTCTCCTCTCTCTCTGTGTCGCCGACTTGTTCTCAGTTATTTCTTTGCAACTTCAGAGAAATATACCAACAGTTCTCACAGTCTCTGTGATCTCTTTAGATCCATCTCTCTCCTCCATTCCTCCATACACTACATCTATGAATGTACCTGCAAGTCCTGCCTCTCTATTTCTTTCTACCTGTCGAGAGCCATCTTTCAGTCTCTCTTTTTCACACCTCTACAATTTTAACTAAGCAAAGATTTTCCACTCTCCCTTTCTCGCTACATCCAAACGAATATGTTTTCATTTGAAAGCGTTGAAACGATCTCTGTCCAAACAAGCCTTTTCTTTCTGTATTCCCATCCATCCTAACACGCCTGTAAACACATATCATGTGACCTCTCATGTACCCTGGACATGTGCGTCCTGTTGGACATGGGAATTGTTGCAGATTGCTTGAATAATAACTTGTCTCATTGTAAAATGCAGAGTTTTAACGGCACAACAGCTGTTAGCAAAGACAACCGGGTCAGCAATGCTGATTATCCATGTTACGTTCTACACTGGTAGCAGTGACAGGTGTCTAAGTTATCGTTTGCAATATCTCTGTTTCTGCCTGTCAAGACTAAAACGCAGAGTTTTCAAACTAAAATGGGGCCGGCAGCTTTTCCAAAGTTCCAAAGAGTAGTGTGGACACTAAGCGTAACGGAAGTTGATGCATTTTTTAAACGAAAAAGTAATCGTACGGATTAAGCCTCTATCTGTCACTGTAGGACCTGGTTCAGACCTGGTATTGACATTCGTCCTGGTCACACGAGACACATTCAGGATGCATTTTACCACCAGGTGTGAACAGACGAACTTTACACTGTCCCCTTGTGATCAGATCTCTCGGGACAGATGTTCATACCTGGTCAGAACAGGGCCTCTTTCTCTCTTTCACACCTCCACAAATGTAACCCTGCAAAGATTTCTCACTCTCCCTGTCTCCATCTGCTGTTTACCCACTGTGTAGATTTCACTGCGGCTGTCTCTCTCACGTCCTCTCACTGCTGCTCCTCCTCGCTCCATGCTGCCCTGTCTCCCTCCTCCCATGACAAAAACAAAACCCAACTACAGACTCCAACCGTAGACGATAACAGATGCGTCATCTTCCTCCGCTGCACACCTACACACTCTCCTCAACCTTTTATGAACCCTCAGTTCTTTCACACAGGCTCTCCCTGCTGCCTGTTGACTCGCACTGCCCCTGAGTGTTCAAAACATAGTCCTGCACAAAACAAATGCACAAATACTCCCACAATCATGTACATGCTCACATTTGTGCCACTTAGGAAAAGGTTCAAATTCAAATTATCACTAAAATTTGCCAGTTGATACGTTATATAGTAAAGATATATTTTAGTACATTTTGTTCTAGAAGCATAGCTGTCACATCCTTACTGTGACTTATTTTGGACAAAGGAAATCTATTTAAAGATATTATAGATAATATATTTACTAATTTCTACGTGTTGGTCAATGTAAAAACATCCGTCAGTGTGTTGCGTTTCCACATAACATCGGTGGATCCACTGACAACATATCTCCTCGTTTCTCTCTGTAGCGGGTCATCCGCAGCAGAAGCCAGTCTATGGACGCCATGGGCCTCAGTAACAAGAAGTCACACACAGTCTCCACTAGTCACAGTGGCAGCTTTACCCACAATCCCGCAGAGAGCCCCAAAACCCCAGGGATTGTAAGTAAGCCATTTTGGTTCACATGATGCCCACCCAACACATAATATACATTCAGGACGATGGTATTTTTTGTCAGTTCACAGACTCCTCAGCCCCTGTTCCTTCATATGAGCCTTTTTGCATTTTAAAGCACCTGACTTACATCATTATGTTCATAATGTCGTCACATTTAAAATTCCCTCTTGCTTTCTTTTGAAGTGGCTTTTCACTGATTGTCTTTTTCTATTTATGACGCATGTTGTTCCTTTTTATGCTTGTTTTTCTGATTGTTTTGAAAATTAACATCACAATTCATCCTCAGCATTTCATTCATTCTCATGTGCTGAGAGTCTTTATCACCTCAGTGCACAATCAATGTTCTTTCTCAATGACTCTTGAGTGTTTGTGAGTCTATGAAGTCTCTGACCTTAGACTTGAAGTGAGCTCAGTGTAGCAGCTGTTTGATTACCCAGACTCCCTCCCTTCCCCAATGTGCTTCAGTCATGTTTCCTCCTGTAAATGTTATAACGTCTCTATGCAGCCTTGTGCATGTGCGGCCGGAAAACGTGCATGGCCAGCGTCACAAACGTGAGGAGCACACTGTCCTGTTTGTTTCTCTTTCAAAAACGGGGTTCATTGTGTTTTACTTTGCAAGTAATTTGGTTACTGACTGTATTTTGAATCGAAACTAAATTCAATGTTCAGTTTTCTGAACATTTTCTAGATGGTACCCCCTTTTTTGGATTGCGTCAGTTCTTTTTGCCCCTTTTCCCAAGGTGGACGAGATGACTCACAGAAGTGCATTAACGGAAAATACAAAAGCAAAAGCTACATCACAACCACAAACACTTCTCATAAAGCCAAAACACAACCACAAAATCACAAAGCAACTGCAAAAGATAAAAGAGCCTTTGCCGTGAGGGCCCCTGCACGTTGGAACAAAAAGATTTTATCGTATTTGTCTGAGTTTTTGTGTCTTTATTATTATTATTTCTTGACTCTGGTGGTTTGTGAATTTGATATTGTTTGTTGTAAAGCACTTGTATTAAAACAAGTAAAGTTATTATTATTATCATTATTATTATTAAAAGCCACAAACTACAACACAATTTCAAAAGCCAGAATCCAACTGCAGAAGTTAAAATACAACTACTACTAAAGCCACAACATAACCGCAAAAAACACAACCGCAACTACATTAATGTTTTCCGTTGATGTGCTTGTGTGAGCCACCATCCTTCTCTCCCTCTGAATGCATCACGACACAGACATGTACCCCTGCGAGCAGAAGCTGTCGACCCGCCTGCTGCCTCGGCGGCACTCTCATCACCTGCTGTGTCCTCCTGTGTCGGACCCCCAGCCTGCATTTGTTCTGAAAAGCCTCTCACTGTTTCCTCAATGTCTTCTCTCTATTAACTCACACTGTGAGCTGCTGTTTCAAGCTCTTTTGCACCTTGTTGTTTAAATTCTTTGTGTCGTGCGCATGAGATTCTTATGATGTGTTCTTTTCTTTTTTCCTTACCCCCTCTTGCTTTTTTCAATCTGTCATCTCCTGTCTCTCTCTGCTTCCACCTTCGCCCTGTCTCGTGCGGCTCAGTCATTGCTTGTCCCAGGGAAAAGTCCCAGTAAATATGGACGTCGAGGCAGTGCCATAGGGATAGGAACAATAGAAGAGGTTCATGTATAACTCTCTCTTCTTGTTTGCTTTTTTTATCTTTTTAAAATGTGAGTGTTACTGTTCTTGGTGTGAATGGCTGTAAGGGCCTTTTCATATAATATCTATAGATATATATATATATATATATATATATATATATATATATATATATATATATATATATATATATATATATATATATATATATATATTATATATATATAATAACATTTGTTTGATTTTGGTTGTGATTGCATTCATTCATTTCACTAATTCACAGAGTAATCAAACCCATTTTATTTATATATTTCATATTGGGTGGGGAATGATTTTCCATGTTTTGCATTCCATAACACCAAATTATATATGAATTCCTTCATTCTTTTTACTTTTAATTGTGCTACTAAACACCATAAGAGAAATGTAGGAAATCCACCGTTCCTGCAGACTCTTCAATAATCTCAATTTATGGTAATGAAGACGTTCGAATATTGGTACTAGGTTGTAAATACATTAAGGTAGGTCTTAATTATGTTAACATCCATTTGACACTACTTAACTCTGGCGTTATGCATTATATGTATTGTTAACATGCGCATAGTGTTTCCTCAATTATATGATATTAGCACACTACTACAAAAAGCTTGGAACTGATAAGCGATCGTCTGCAAACACCTTGGTCACAATCTCAGTACGTTCATCTTGGCTGTGGGGACTGTGGATCCTGTCTCTGCTTTAAAACCCATTTTAAGGGTTAACCCCTTGATCAGGTAACTTCACCCTGTCGTCAAGTGCAGGTAATTCTGGGACTCTGATTTCTGTCAGACTTGACATATAGGTCTTGAATTTCATCAAAGTCTGTGAGCTGTGGGGGTAGGGTGGGTAATCCTAGTCTTCCCCATTCCATATACCAAAGGATCCATGGGCAAGATACTGAACCCCGAATTGCCCCTGTTGGCTGTTTCCTGAATAGCAGAGGAAACTGTACTGTAAAGCGCCGTGAGTGATCATCAGAATGAGAAAATACAGATCATTTGACCATTTACCATGAATTCTGGTCTTTAAGAGATTTATAATTTCACTTGTTGAAACCTGCAGAAACCCTGGTGAATAAACTTTTGTTGTCATGCACAGTCAATCATTGCTGAATTATACTGCATCGTAAACTGGCAGTGTGACATTTGAAGGTTAAACTACAGAGTCTGATGTCACAACATTAAATACGAAACAAACAGTAAACCCAGAGACACCCTTAAGAGAGAAAGACAGAAAATATAGAATATAAAATCAGTTCCTGCATGAAGCCAGTGGATCATGGATTTTGTAAAACATGTCGACGAATGTATCATCACATTATCTCAGGATATATCAAGCCATCAGTTTGTAATTCCTTTGCAGCATAGTTACATGTACCGTTCACTATTGTGTCACACATACAATTCATACTGTGGTTGTGAGAAGCTATTACTATACCTGCAGTGTGTCTGACTCTCCTCTCCCACTGTCAGTCATTGATAATTCCTGGGAAAAGCCCAACCAGGAAAAAGTCTGGGCCCTTCAGCTCCCGTCGCAGCAGCGCCATTGGCATCGAGAACATCCAGGAGGTCCAAGAGAGGAGGTGAGAGGACGGAGCGGAGCTGATCAGCAGGGAGTGGGTAGTGACTAATAGTGTCGCAACAGATGGAGGCAGAGACATTAAAATGAAGAAATAAGATTTTAGAGGATGAAGTTAAGCTCCTGTTGGAGGGCAGTTTTGTAGTTTTCATATGGATCTGCACTAACATTCTGTCTAAACCGCATTGGGTAAATAAACATGCATTATTTCCATGTCTCAATCCCCGTCCCTGTCCTCAAGCCGGGAGGTGTCGCCCATCCCCCAGAGGACGTCTGACAGCAGCCACATGTCGCTGGAAAATAAATCAGACAACTCGTCCAATCACAGCTCTCCAGAGTTCCCTGCCACCAGGAACAGGTGACTATCATTTGAATTACACTCATAAATTATTGGTGGTGTCAGACGCCTTTGGTGGGTTGGTGTAGGGAATGAATTTGTACAGTTTGGTGCAGCGACTCTGTTACGTGACTCACGGCCCTCATTGTCATTTTATTAAAAAAACACCAAAGTCACATTATCTTTGTTTGAAAAGATAGAGAGGGTTTGAGCAGAGATGTGTTTAGGCGTCATCTTCCAATGAGCCTGTGAGATTTGAGATTACTCACGATAAACTCAATGTATATGAGTGACACTGTCAGTTTGTAATAATGACAATAATCGTGATAATATGAGCAAAAAGAATGTTAATAATAAATACTTGGGTTATAGATTTATTGTCTTAAAGGTTGCATTTGAGCTTAGTTATTGCTAAATAAGTAAAAACTGTGTATTATGCTAATGTTATGTTTATCCCAGTATCACTCAGCACTAGCGATGGCTAATTCAGAGCTGTTTTATTCAAACACCTTTAAGATATTACGTGGCACACTGTAGCAAAGGCACAGCTGCCTCTCCCCCTGAAAATGTCACTGGAGGGAAATGTAGAATTCATTTTTTGGAAGGACAAGAGACATTTTCACTGCTGCCGCCCAAATGAGTGGATAGGTGTTCAGTGCGTGTGTGTTACTCGGGGGTTTGTGCGGTCAGAGTGACCCAGGTGTGCAGTTGGGCGATGTGTTACAGGGCGCCCTCCATCCCAGAGGCGCAGGACCTCTCCCGCTCCTCCTCCAACGCCAGCAGCTTCGCCAGCGTCGTAGAGGAGCACGAGGAGGAGCAGGATGCCGAGGAGGATTACGACACCGGACTGGTGAGTGGAGGCAGACAGACAGGGTGACGACACATAATAGAAGTGCAGACGACCGACAGCTTCTGTTTACAGCCTGTGACTGTTTGTGGTTCCACTTGACACTTCTACTGTGAGGAACAAAAATAATCAATTTGTTTGGATGTGAGAGCGTTTGATAGATTTCACTATATCTCAGTACTGACAGGTCCCAAAATGTGTTGCGGAGTAAGTCCCATGAATGCATTTCTTCCACTCTCACTATTGTGCATCTTACAGCCAACAAATGAAAAAAGACAAGATGCAAATACAGTCAGAGAGCAGAGCTGCTGTAACTATTTCTGATGCCTTTATCCTTTATTTTGAACTTTTTATCTGTCAAGACCTTAAAAAACATTACAACATAGCAGAACAATCAATCAGTGTTTCCCACAGAATTCTTCCAATGTAAGATGGTAGTACGGGTGCACATGCACGAACACGAACGTCGCTCTCACGCACAACGCAGTCCAAGTGACAGGTACGCAGACTAAAGTGAAAGACAAGTCAAGGGAACGCGCACAACTGCAGCTGAAACTATGAGGTCTGACTGTCTGTGTGGATGGTAACAACTTTATGGACGATAACACAAGTGCACAATATAAGATAATCTTTTATTCGATGTTACAGCTGCAATAGGGCAGTTAAAAATATCAGTAAGTTATAATAAATAGACATGCAACAAAAAATAAGATATAAATTGAATAAAGACTAATACATACAGTGTGAAAAAAGAATGTATATATATATATATATAGAGAGAGAGAGAGAGAGTGGAATGGACTGTACATAAGCCATTGTATTGCACAGACAGAATGAATATTTCACAGTTAAGAGAGTTAAACCAGTGTTGGTCCTTAGTGGGTGTGTGTAGTTCTACTGGGAGCAGAGCTGGTTGTACAGTCTTTCTTGGATACCTCTCTTGGGTAAATAAGTCTGTCGCTGTCGGTTTATACATCAGTTATTATCAATGTTGAATGTACATAATCCAATTTTCCTAAAGTTGCAAGAATTTGTCAATCCGTAGTTTTTGCGAAAAGCTAATTCTCTCCATGTCAGTCTTTGTTGGAGGCTCAGACTGGAACCATTTTCCTTGTTACAGCTTGCTTCCCGGCTGCTGATGGTATTTGTAATAAATATTTGTCTTGTGCCAACAAATAAGCTGCAACATTGCCCAAGTAAATTGTAGTGTCTTTACGCTTCTTACAGGAGAGCGTGTCCTGTGTTATGCCGCTCAAGCGTGACTCGTTTGTGTACAGCTCTGGCGTGGAGGACAATGTGAGCAGCACCAGCCAGGGTAGTTTTCCAGGTGAGTTCAGGAGAAAATGACTCCTATTACTGGGCCAGTAACAGCCTGCAGGTGTGAGAAGCAGGTGTGTTATCAAAAGGTGGTCGGTGTCACATATTCAGGGTATCCAGGGGGGGAAACTAGAAGGGGCAGATGTGAGAATAACCCTCTCTGCTTCCTGAGCAATTAATATCGAAGCAGCCTCAAGTGACAAACTTCAGCTCAGCTGCACCAGTGAAGCCGCCAACAACTGAGGCCCATTGTGTGTAACTGTACGAAAAAAAAGGATGCAAACTTCTCTTAAATGATTGAAGTGCACTTTGCCTCCAGCTTGAGAAACTTTCCTGCACAACTTCTTTTACGCTGCAGTTTTTTCCCCCCACTAATGATTCACTCTGGAACATTAATCTTTGGCATGTTGGAATATTTTTTGTTCTGCTGGAACAGCTGGCAGCATTATGTGCCATGTGAGTTTATTAACTGTGACAGCCTCACATCTGTCGCCTTCCTCCAGCCTCTCGTCTTCAGCAGCAAGCGGACGGAGCGAAGACGTCAGAGCCAAAAGGGACAGACGGCAGGCCCAAGATGGAGCGCCCCCCGCAGGAGCAAAAGTTCTCATCGGTGAGACAAAGGGCTTGGCGTCAGATGTTAAATGACATAAGATGACATGATGTAGTTTCACAAAGTCACTGAAATTAATGTGTTATCTGTTTATTGTTGAAATGTCCATTGTGTAAGATTTATCCTAGTGATGTTTTCACCAGTGTTTAATCATCTAAATTGTACTAATTGTTGTTTTCTTTACCCGAGAATATATTTAAATACTTTATATTTACTTCGGGAGCGCGTCCAGAGCCCACCATGTTTTTTACAGTTGAGGGTTACCACACGTTCTCTTTCGTGCTTTGAAGGGGAGGGTGAGGTGAAGAGTGTATAGCTGCAACATGCAATTTCACCACTAGATGTCAGTAAATTCACTACACTCTACCTTTAAATAATTTATAGAGTAAAAAGACAAAATAGTCACTTGTTCCTATAACCTCCACACACAGAGCATGTATCTTTAAAATTTGGCGTGTTGAGGTTGTTTCACTTCATCCTGAGGGGAAGCAAACCCTTTGGTGAACATTGCCGATTGTGATCATGGCAAAATATGATTTTGACAAAACACCCAACGGTCATGTGATCGAAAGGATTGTGAATGAACAGGACACAGAGACATTTTTCATTAGTTAATATTATCTGTTTCTCTCTTCATTATCTCTTCATGCCTGTTTGCAGAACTGTTAGCCAAACCCAAATGAAACAACATCAACATCCATTTTCAGGTTAGTCTTATCCTTCATCATTTTAGCTCACAACAGCATTGTCCTTTCAAGCTGTAATCTGTCTCCTGACCTTTTAACCAGAACTTCTGCTTTTACACTCATCTATGAAACTGTCTCTCATCTTCTCTCCTTCATCTCAGCATTACCCCATTTGAGGCATTTGCCAAAGATGAGCAGAGGGCAGTGGTGACTTCCACCACTGATGCAGAAAGGGAGCAGAATCAGAAGCCCGAACAGGAGAGCGAGGGATCTGCCGCCTGTCACGACGAGACATCCAGCTTCAAGAACGTGTTCTTACCTATCGCCCTCATTCCAGCTCCACGTGGAATCCCTCTTAAACGCTCGAGGCAAAGACAAAGAGACCTCCGCCACCACTTCCGGCTGACGGACTGTCATGTGTCAGCTGGCTTAGCAGAGTATGTTTGCCTGCTCCCTCTCCAGGCCAGTAAACGCTCTGAGCTCTGAGACCCGATTCTTTCTGTAAACTGCCCTCCTCCAATGTCATGTCTGCTTTTCATGATCAGGAATTGGTGAACAGGGGGGGGGGGTGTGTAATCTTGAGTCTGAGAGGAGAATGTGAAGGTCTGTAGAGAGAAGCGTTGCACTAGAGAGGAAATGTGTTTTTAATGTCAGCCTCGCATCCCACTGTGATATTGTACATGGGTTTTAAATGTACCCGGTGTGTGTGTGTGTGTGTGTGTGAGTGTGAGTGTGCTTCAGGCCATGTTTTAGTTTTACTATCTATTTCTCTTCTTCTGAGTATCCTGCGGTGAATATTGGTTGTAAATTCATCATGTTTTTGATGGAGGGTACATGACCATGCTGCTGTTGGTGGCTGTGTAGGCATCAGTTACTTGGAATACGCCACAGAAAATGTGTCTGCAGTTTTTGCATTCAAAATGTCGGTCAAGACAAAAAGACTGTGATGATGCTATAAAAATATAAACAGCTTTACTGTAGAGCCCCAACCAGCAACATGCTTCATACTTCAAGCTGTTTAGAACTTTGCGTCCTAATGCTCTGTCACACACCACTTGTTGATTTGATGTCTGTGTACGGGTGTGTTATACAAACGATACTGTGCATGGTGTAAATCTGCTTGCCAAAAAAAAAACCCTCTCCTCCTGTACACTGGTGCCATCCAACCCTGTGATTTGTGTTTTTATTATGGGAAAGAACCAGCCAACATCTCCAGATGCAGTGCACATTGCTGATAGAGAGCCAAACGCCACAGTTTCCCTACTTTATTTGTAAAGTTGAATATGTGTATGTACATGACCGGAGCACTAAAGGTTTTTTCCGGATGCTGACCTGCTGAGAAACATGATTTGTCATGAATTACACTGTGACTCGTCTTGACGTTGCCTTTATGATTGTCGCGTGAGCTGCTCTGAGGATAGGTCATTTAATTTAAAAAGGCACCGCGTTGCCGGCTGGCTTGAATGTAAAACTATAGGCAGACATGCAGTCGTACGTACACGTCTGCTCTCACCAACAGTGATGCTGCGTGTGAAGTTCGAAGCAGCTCTGAGTGGACGAGCTTCCCCGTTTTTCGTTTGTTATGAAGGAAAGAACTGATTCATTCACCTGTTTTATTTCAGTTGTGTAACTGAAGCGGATATGAGATTTATTGTCTTTGGTTAATTAACAAAAGCATTTACATTTTACACATGACATGTAGTATGAAATGTTTGAACACACTGGACCAAAATCAGTTTAAAGCCACAAGTTTCAAGGTACAAAGAAACATTTTGCATTTGACCTCAGAAAAAAAAGGCATAGAAACAAATATAGAATTATTTTGGTAATAGTTTCACATGTGTATTATAGCTTACTGCATTGATTTAAAATATCAATATGTTAGATCAAATGATTTTCATCTGGACTTCAGGAATGCTTGAGTAGATGAAGTATGCCCTCTTGTGGCTATGTAATATTATAGCACATTACAATGTGTTCCATTCATTTAACTGTGCTTAACACTGTACTATACCAACGTCGATCCAAACCACAAAAAGATTGGAAGTGAATCTTCTGTGTGCTCAATTCAAATGATTGTAATTCTGTTCTTGTCAACAGTCTGCTTAAGCCCTTGTTCAAAAGATTTGTAAATATTGCTGTACATCCTTTTTTGTAACTGAAGCAAACGAAAAGGTTTAATAAATATGAAGATGCATAACATCAAACCTCTCCGGTCATTTCAGCGACAGAAATGTTGATGAAAGTGGCACTTAAATGATTTTAAGAAGCAGAGATAATACAGGCGCTTACAGAACAATTATCATCCAACCCCAAGTGACCTCAATATGCTAATGTTTTCTATCTATATTTGAAAAAAACAAACCCTCTACATTCCCCCTGTCACAACTTTCTTTCCACTGCTCAGTTTCTGTTCACACCTCCAGGTTCCACCACTTGAAGTCAAACGGCTCCCTACGGACGTTGGAGCCACAGTGCACCTCTCCCAGCAGCTTGTGGTAGGAGGCGTAGTCGTCGATGAAGGTGCAGCTGAGGCCCAGGCCCCCCATCAGCGAGCACATCTCCGCCTCCAGGGCACAGCGGCCGTTCACCTTGGGGCCGAAGGGCTTCGGGATGCCGAGGTTTTTCCCCAGAACGATCATGTTCACCTTGAAACAGATAAAAACTGATGATCAGACAATGAGACTAACTAATGAGTGCTTTCATTCTTCCTAAATCTGTAACAACCATTAGGATACGATGGATTCATTATCTATTCCACTTATCCTTAAGGGTCATGGGGGAGCTGGAGCCAATCCTAGCCGACAATGAGCGAGAGGACATGTCACCAGTGTATCGCATGCAAACTCCACAGAGAAAGACTCCAGCCAAAGTGGGATGTGAATCAAGAACCATTTGTAAATGATCACATGTAAAGATTAAGTCTGAACACACCATGTCAGGGAAGAACGCCTCTGCTCTTAACCCAGACTCCTCATTCAGCTGGAATAGGATCGGCAGGTCAATGATGTCCTCGTCGTCCAGGCCCAGCTCTTTCTTCAGGACGTCTCTGTTCCAGTCGATGCAACTCTGGGTGGAAGAAGGAAAACACAAATGCAGTCGATATCTTGCACAATACACTATAACTATCTTTGCTTCAGTCTTTAAAAGTCTCAAATCAAATAATTGCTCAAGGAAAATTTTGCTCATACTGCAGAGCCCCGTGACTCATGGGATATTATCTCTTCAACATCTCAGTTTGTCAAATGTCTGTCCTGCTAGGATCACACTGATCCACTTTAAGTGCAAACATTGCTAAAACAATTTACTCTGTTGCAGCAGGGAACGCAAGTGTATAAAGTTTCAGACATCAACTCAGGAACACATCTGGAAAATTGGGTCCAGAGTTTCTTTCACATATGAAAGACACTCGAGGAGTGACGCCTGGGTCGAACATGCGGGAGTCAGGACATGATGTATAACTTCTGCTGCTCAGTATTTTTACATCACATCCAAGCTCATGAAAAAGCTCTTGAGCCTTCTCAAGTTGTTGTCACCGTCTTCCACGAGCATGGCTCCTCTTCCTCATCCTGAGATATATGTCTTCTCCCTTTCACTCACTGGGAGTTCTCCAAAAAAGTTCCTGCTGTGATGTCACATGGTCTCATCGGGAAATGGAGACGACAAACTGCCTCTGGAAACATCAAGAAAAGTGGCGGCACCAGAGCATAACATCTGCACTGGCAAAAGTCAGCTGGGGTGGTATCAGTGATGGGTCCCTTTTCTCTACCTGGTTTTCTGATGGACGACTCACAGTTTGACTGGATGCCTGAATGCATGGCAGCAGCTCTGAAGATTGGTGGAGAAGGAGGACTAAAGGTCTGGGGCTGTTTTACAAGACTCCAATTTAGCCGCTTAGTTCCAGTAAAAAGGAGAAATCCTCATGTCGCACCAGCGTAACTTTACCCACATCCAACAGCTCTGGGGTGAAGTGAAACGCTGACACTGTTCCAGGCCTTATCGCCCAACATCTGTGATATGCTCTTCTGGCTGAATGGGAACAAATCCCTGCAGCCAGGTTCCAAAATCCTTTGGAAAGGAGACTGTTACAGCAGCATGTTACTGCCTGTAGTTTCAGAATGACATTTTCTATAGAATGATTTTCTCTGTCATTCATCATCCTCTTACAATCCCACTCACCTGCACGTAGTTGTTTTCAGCTTGTAAACTCTTGTTATTGAGAATATCGTCCACCGTTATTGCTTCTTCAGGTTTCAGACCTGTTTGTAAATACAATGTACAGCGAGTGAGTTGCATGATGACTTTTTTCAAGACTGAGACGTTCTCCACTAACACGTAGAACTACCGTCGAACATCTTGGCTTGTCCGTGACCGTCGTTCTTTAAGCCTCTGAATAGCTTGTAGCCGGCGTCGGGGCTGGCCAGCAGCAGCCGGAAACGCTGTGAACAGAAACACAAGAGACAAACATAACATTGGCTGACTCATGTCCTGAGAGCTTTAACTATCCAACCATGCAGGTAACAGCATTGCACCACCGTCCAGTAACAGCAACAGGCTACGTGTTTTCTCTGGTAAAGCGCTGCTCGCCATTCCAAAATCAAGGCTGAAAGCCAAAGAAGATGGAGCCTTTGCCATGAGGGCCCCTACACTTTGAAAACAATCTGCCAGAAGAAATTAAACCAGCATGATCAGTTTCCTGTTTTATCTCTCATCTCTATCTGTTTGTCAGCGTGATTTAACAGATATGAAACTTTATGGAAGGAGGTGGTACGGGTTTGGAAAGATTTTGCTGGATCCTGGACTTTTTTACCCCACTTTCTTTAACAATACAAAATGGTGCTTATCGACATTTTTGTCTTCCTGGGGGAATAAATCATGGATCTTGATGATTCAGGGGAATGATATCTATGAGTGTGTGAAATTGTAGATTATTACCTCCACCAAGTAATAAACCGGCCTTATTGAAGGTGTGATATGAGCTCTACTGTTCTTTTTAGTTTCAGTTTTACCTTTCTGTCAGGTGCAGGAACAAAAGTCATGAATTCATCAACGTGGCCGACAGTGAGCCAATCTGAAAACAAGGCGATTGGCTCCTGAACCTTCTGAGCCCACAGGAAGTCCTGAACCACTTTGGTCATGTTGCGTCCTTGAGTTGCCCTTGAGGAAATTAAGAGATGCACATATGCTCATAAATCTTCTGTTCAATAAGCTGAACTAAAGCTGTCCATACGTTCTTCATAAGTCAGGCGCTCATCTCTAGATAACTTGAGAACTCACGTAGGGAAAGCCACTCCGATGATGATTCGGCCCAGGGGGTAGTTTTTCCCATTCACAGTAACAGGAGGACTAACCTCCAGATTACCGAATGAGTCCAGACTGCTCACATCCTTTCTCTGGGCTATCCTCGTCACGTAGCCAAAGTCAGGGCCCTGAGGATATGAAATTATATGAGATAAGACACAAAATCATGTTTGTATGAGAACATTTCATTTCTTAAAGCTTTTCAGATTACCAGTAGCTCATTGTATGGAAAGTCCTGGAGTTTTCCATCTCGAGGGGAATCAAGAACAACAGGAAACCGTTGGTGAGGTGAGTCGATGTAACCAAACTCCAGCTCATCCTGAAACATCACATACATTATATGTTCAGCTCTGTTTGAGTTCTTATTAGAGGTTTAACATAACAACAGCTCAAGAGAGAAAACAAGACAACTTTAGTGCTCATGTTTTTCTGCGAGAATGCTTTGTGCAAGTTTTGTTCTCATATGAATTTTTCATTTTTTGCTTTCTTTCATGATGTGATCCACTGATTTTTTTGTTGTGTCCTTGTTTCCAGATTAACCTCTTTTAGTTGTGCTCTTATCCCAAGAGGTTTGTGATGCTACCTCTCCTCAAACCCTTACTGTTTTGAGGATTATGAAACTCATATATCACCTAACACATAGATGGTGTGCGGCAGGGTTCCCTGGAGTACAAATGACAGTTCAAGTTAAAATCTACATCGCAGCATGTTTATTTTCTGACCTGCATCCACCGATCTCCTCTGTTCAGATATTCGTGGCAAACCTTCAGCTTGTACCCGCTCTTGTTAACAAGGTTTATCATTCCTTTCAGGAACTTAAAGTTATCAGATGTGCTGAAACACAGGCAGACATAAACCAAACAAACCAAATATTTAAGACCAATCAAAAATAAAATATTTAAAAGTACAATGCAAAAGCTTATAGTGACTTTTCAAAATAGTTGTGGCATTTTCTCGGTTGTATGAGTTCAAATTGAAATGAATGTGCAAGACTGTGCTGTTGCAACAGCTAACATCACCTTTATTATTCATCGGTCTTCTCTTACCTGCACACAAACACCTCTACAGGCTGCAGGGTGTTGGGTGTCATGATCCAGGGCGCCACTCTGAACACAGCTGTGTCTGTGAAAATGGGCGTCTCTGGGAGACCCTGTCAAAACAAGAGAGGCTGCTAAGTGAAGACGACTAAAAGAAAAATCGAATCATTGTTTAATGGTAGTCTCATGACAAGAAATGTACCAGGTTCATTTATATTGCTGAGACTGAAAGATCATTCTTGACCTTGGAAACATTTATTATTAGAAAAAAAAAGGTTCATTTAATAGATATCCGGGAGCAATAATCCAGATCATTAAAAGTAAAGCTATAGACTTTGACAAGTGACTGAAAATACAGACAAGCAGAAAAGGGAGTTGTGGTTGCAGATTAAATAAAGGTGTGGGTGCCGTGCTGCAGGTCTTAACTGTACAAATAGGCTCTAATAGACTGAGGTTGATGCTGATGAGGCCATTGAAGTCTTTGTCGGGAAACCTGAGGCCCTCCACGTAAAACTTCATCTCTGCTTCGTGGCCAAGGTACGGCACCTCCTGTGACAGGACCTCACTGTTCAGCACCAGTGGATAGTCCTTCAACGGGGAGCTATAGACGAAGTTTGCTAGTGAAATGAGATAAACAACATTCAAATACCAAATTTTGATAGAAGAAAAAAAAATAGCAGTTAAAAAGGGTATGAACATAAAAGATGAAAACAGTGCGAAGCCTTAAATTAGCAGGCTGCATTACATGCATGTTACATCATCTGTTTTGGGGCTTTCAGCTTTACTCACATATGGTGTTTTTCGCTTCAGGGGATCTGGTCCTGAACACTCTCACGCTCTCTGCGTCGCTCTGTGAGATGTGCATGGTGAGCTTGTAGCCCTCTGGGAGCTTTGCAGGGCCTCTGGTCCGCAGCACCATGGGCGACATGTCCTTCAGATCTGCACATACCCAAACAAACACTCATGAGAGCCCTAATAAAAGTATTCAATACTTAATGATGAGAATGTGAGGTTTTTTTTACAATCATCTCGTGAAGATATGGTCAAATATCGAGTTTGAGGTGCACACATGAAAGTCGAGCTGCAGCATAAATAAACACCTGTTTATAATATCAAATTCCAGCTCTACTGGTTTTACCACTTCAAAGTCATTTGAAACGTTGGTTTTATCAACCCACCCTCTCACACATTTCTGTTTTATCAGTAATTTTCCACATCACCTCTTTATTCAGCTGACTTTGCAAAAGCAGATACGCCTGGCCTTTTATAAGTACGCTCATGGTACCAACAGAAGAACATAGTCACTGTTAAACCAGAACTGGAACTATCTCACCTGACACTTTGGTGATGTGGTTCTTCTTTGAGTCTTGTTCCTTCCAATAGGTCCGCTCTGAGTCACAGTTGACCAATAGGATGGCTCCGTGTCCATCAGGACCCCATTTCCAGGAGCCCTAACAAGGTTTCAACAAACCAGACATGGGAACTGATTTGATTCACAGTTTTGCTGCTCTGCATTTCACAGTCTGAACAGAGCATGAACTCCAGAGTTTTAATGTGTGCATATTAAACTGTCAAACACAGATTACAGACAGTTCTCAGTTCTCATGGAAGGAAACATTCAGGAAGGTGACAAAGCAAATTATCTCATGCAGAGTTGGCAGCACGACAGGTTTAATGACGCAGGAGCTCTGTAAATAAGGAGAATGTGCAGCGCGGAGTGAATTCAATAAATAGAATCCTATTCATTAAAATTGTTATTGTTTATCAGAAAGTAACAGAAACTGAAAATCCCTCCATCATTGGTGTCAGACTTTTCCCTGTCATCTTGAACTGTCACAGGTGAGATCACCTTATTAGGGTTGTTTTTCTCCACCACACCGTCTCTGTCCGCATCCACATCCAGAGAGATCTCTGTGGGACAGACACAGAGCATGTTTGCATGGCTGAGATAGTCAAGATAGAGGCTCCTTTCATGGCACAGCTATTGTTTTCAAAAGGCTATTAATGTATATTTCCCTATCACAGTTGAGCTTGTTGCTCTGTGCTTGAATATATGAATTATATAGATGGTTCTGGTTAAAAAGAAGGGGTTCTGCCTTAAATGGAATGTGATGTAAACACACAACTAACATGCCGCTGACAAAACATCAATTCAGAGTGATTTATATACATTTTAATAGAATAATTCCATGATGCATTTTAATGTTTTAACTTACCAACAGCTGTCAGGTGCAGAATTGCATTCCCCAACAACTCTTTCTTCTCCGCATAGTACCTGACAGACAGCTTATATAACAAAAGCACAAATTATTTATGTTACTTATTTTACAATAATGATTTTTATATTGCAACTGAGCTCTTTTTTAATGTGAAACCCCCCTCTGGTTTTGTAAAAATCAGATGAACCCTGAATCAAAAAAAGCAAAAGGTACAAATGCCTTCAGGAGGGCAACACTGAGTTTGATGTATTTCCAGTGAAGAAGAAGTCCTCTCTTGAAATGTAGAAATTCAGGTTTTTTTTATCATGCTGTGTTTTTGCTTTGGGCTCTGTGACAGACTCATATTCATCATTTGAATTTGCATTTTCCAGCTCGTTTCCTGGAGCGGTTCCCACATCTCACACATATTGAAATACGACTCTATGGGACAACGGTGTCATGCCACTTTACCTTGCAATCATGTTCATGCTCACTGGCACGGCTCATGCTGATGAGCAGCACTGAGTTTTTATTTAGAGGGATGGGTGAGAGGTGTGAGGTCTCCTGGGGCGGGGGGCTGATGCTGCACTGAACACTGGGGGTGCACTTCACAGAGAAGAACTTGGAGCTGGGAGGGGCGCTCCTGAGAACAAGAGAAAGAGCAGGTTATTAGCACGTTAGGGACGTGTCTTTACACCACACATATATATTACCTCCACAGAGGAGGTTATGTTTTCACCCGTCTGTTTGTTTGTTTCCTAGCAAGATAACCCAAAACAACCAAACTGGTTTCCACGAAACTTGGTGGAAATGATGCGGAATGTGTCAGGGAAGAAGTCATTCAATTTTGGCACGGATCAGGAGGAAGATCAAGGATTTCTTTTTCTGGTTCTTTAACCTTGGGAGGTGGTGGTTTTTTTTGACATTTTCACAATTTTCCCAGGAATCACTCGTGGATCTTTACACTTTAAGGGGTCTGATGAGGTGTCAGACCCCTTATTTCAGTGGAAGGGAGGAAAAAGAAAACTGACGAAGTAAAGATCTAGAGCTGCAGGTGGTAAAATGGATACCTCCAGAAATAAAACAATGAGGGCCACAGTGCATCTTTATTTCTATGGAGACTGAAGCTTTTCTGGGTGTGAGTCAACAGACTGAGACACCTGATACGCCCACATTATACCACCACTCCACCTCATGTTTTCCAGGTCAGCTCTTTTGCTCTAATGTCATTATCACCAGTTCATTAAGGAACAGATAAGAAATACTCAACTGCCCATACGTGCATTGATAACATTTATGGGGATGAAGAGGATAAAGACATTAATTTACACAAGTTTGCAAAGCTTCTTCCCCTTTACACCTTGTCTGTTATATTTTTCTATTTATTCGTACGTGCAATTTCATCCAATATGTCCAATAATTCTCATGTCAGCTTCCATCTTACTTATCTATTGACTATATAGCTTTTATACCTACTTAAGAAACCGTACCATTCTAAATGACATTTTTGAGCTGGGTGATATTGTACTGTGCACTTTGTGTTTGGTCTGAATGAAAATAAAGTGAATTTTGAATCTTTATTTTTGCCTCATTGTGGCTTCCGCTCTCTTTTGAATGAACAAGAACTGTGGACTTTGCCCCCGATCTCTCACAAAGCGGAGGAGCTCTTCACCGCAGGAGGAAGTATCACAGACGCCTATGACTCAAACAGTCATGAGTCGACGGATTTATGTGTATGTGAACCTAATCTTTCAGATACTGAAACCTCTACAGTAGACAGGCTATCCTCTCCCGTGAATATGCAACTTTCATTGTTGGAGATCCCAAAGCACCCCGGGAGTCTGTGCCGTGTGACTCTCTCCCACATTAATCCAGCCCTGCTCTGTTGTGTAGGCTGGCATTTGGCAGAGCAGTATAGCCCACATTTCTTTGATACAACAAAGTCTCTCCTGTTGGCAGCACAGTGTACGGTTGACAGCAACAACAGACGACTGTTGATTCACCCCACAGTGCAAACAAAAGACGACCTACACCACCAGGAACTGACTAAATTATCTTTTCCTCATCCTTGTTGACATAGGTTAACTGGAATTTAAATTAGTAACTTAGGGCTAAATTAATTTTATATCTGTATAGTTAATGATCTTCCCCACAGCCTTGTTGATATAGGTTAGGTATAGAATTATTATACATTCAATGTAAACACTCAAATTCTTTCTAATAATTAGACCAACCTGTACATAGCAGCAACGGGTAGTCTAAATATTAGGAACACCACTCAGTGTATTGTAGTACAACACAAAAAAAAACAACACAAGCTACAATAACAGTAATAAAAATCGTATTGAATTTACTGCAGGGTTGTTGCATTACACCTTGTAGCAGTTGTATTACATACATTGGCAAGTAAGAACTCTATAATTAAACTATAATCAATGAGGAAGAAGAACTAATTTTTGTTGATGTAAGTGTAGTTTGTGTTGCTTTGTAATTGTAGACTTACATTATACCGATTGCTGTTTCTACTATAGCCAATGCTGCAGTTTACTCTTGACACCGTCATTCAACACCAATGGTTACTGATAGCAGATTGGACAAGAGTCCTACCTGTTCAGGTTCACGTTGAGTTCCGAGCCAACCACACACAGAATACTTGTAGTTTTGTCAAAATCTACTCTGAGAGTCCTGGGGTGCATCATGGCTGCAGTTGTCTCCCACAGTCAGCCTGCTACTAACAGATAGATGTCCTGTGACTGTCCTGTTATTAGATGCAGCCTGGTTTTTACAGACTGTTCTGCATGGCTCAGTGCAGAAGCTCAACAAGTGATTATGAGGCTGCAGCTCCTGAAGGCTCGGCCTCTGATTGGTCAGTCAAATGCCCAGCCCACCACAGCCACCCCCACAGTCCACCCCCCTCAGCTCTCTCTCTCTCTTACCTCTTCTGTCTTTTGCCTTTGTCTCTCTCTCTCTCTCTCTCTCTCTCTCTCTCTCTCTCTCTCGTCTAACCCCTCTGCATTGTTCGGTCAGGTCTTTTGCATTTCTTTATTTAGAGAAAAGGTTTGGATGTAGGGTGGGAAATGTTGCATTTACCTCTGTGTAGGACTGCACAGTAAAAAAAGAGAAAATAGCTTAACAATTCTAGGTTAAGTGTAACTGTTATGGATAAATAAAAAATGCATCAAATTACTCAAAACTATTAACCATAAAGTAAAAGATGTACTTTGTGATTTAGAACAACAGGAAATTACAGATTTTTTTATTTATTATTTATTTAATTGCTTGATTGTCTTGAATATATGTATTTGTATCTGTATTTTTAAAATCCTATTGTGAAAATGTTAAAGTAAAAATCTATAATTTAATTTACTGTAACTTGACAGTAAGTGTTTGGTGACTTCAAACTCAAAATGTTTTTTTATCATCACCACTATCTTCATTACTCACCGCAGGCTGTGTGTGCCTGTACTTATATCTTTGTGAGGACCATTTTGACTCCTACAGACTGAGGACATTTTTGGAAAGGGAGGACAGGTTGACCGGTCCTTACATCTTCAATGGGCTGTTTGTGGGTTAAGACGTGGTTTTAGGGTTAGAATTAGATTTAGGGTTAGGCATGTGAGAGGCCAATGAGTGTCACCTCACTAAGATAGAAGTGTGTGTGTCAGTTTACCTGTTGAGGTTTATCTTCAGGGTGGTACCGATAACATGGAGGACACCCTGAGGACTCTCTGTGTCCAGGCGACATGTTCGGCTGTGTTCTGCTGTCTCTGCTCTCCTCCTCTTTAAGAACTCAGGTACACTGGTCTGTGACACCTGTTGGAACATCGTCGGTCGATTCTCTGCCGCAGATTACCGGAGGATTTCTGGAGCTGTTGTCCTGGCGCTGCAAAATCTGGAGAAGAGGACAGGACGAGGCAGCCCCTCGGTTTATAAAACAGGGAGGCGGAGAGAAGAGCTCCGGGGAGAATTCCTCAGGTACGACTGTCTGTGCTGGATGATTGGGTGAGGCTTCTTCTGCAGAGCATCCCAGCTCAGAGGGTGGGGCCAACCTGCACGGACAGACACAACAGACTGTGTGACTGAGACCGAGAGTTTGCACAGAAAACAGTAATCTTACTAACGTCTACCCCGAGGAATAAACATGTCTTTTGTTAATATACATAGTCTAATATTTTGTTTGCATGGTTCATCATATTACTTCTGTTACATTTTCTGTACTCCCCCCCCTAGTTTTATTTAACTGTAAAAAAGTAAAGTTTACTAATACTACTTCATAAAATAATGTTAAATTCCTTCATATTGGCACATATCACTTTATTTTTTTGCTAAATGTTGCCATCCTTGGAGTTGTTCAGACTTAAAGGGGTGTTACGTGTTGGGTTTGTAGAACACTGATAAAAAACCAAACAATATTTTGCATGTCCTTTGTGAATGTTGAATTAGCATGACAAGGCTGATTTGTTTATCAATCTCTCTATCACCCTATCTATCTATCTGTCTGTTTGTCTATCTATCTATCTATATGTTTGTCTATCTATCTATCTATTTATATGTTTGTCTATCTATCTATCTATCTATCTATCTAT